TGGAGCTCAAATGTGTCATCCACATAAAGGACCAAATCTGAACACAGGGAAATGTTACCTTGTCACAACTGGGGATGAATTGCATAGGGATGAAATACATGGAGGTAGTGATGAGCCACCTTTTCACTTTAAAACATGTTGATCTGGTCATTAATTTCAAGGATGTAAGTCAACTGATTCTAGCATTAGAAAAAGCCATAATAAAGAGTACAGACAAAAATCTTTTACATCTTAACTTTAATCAACACTCAAAACTACCTCTTACCTATTCCCATCAGTGCCTACTAATGTCTCATTATCATTACCTTAAATGCATTACTGGCACCTTAAACTTGTTGTGAGGTGTTTAGATGCAAAACCAAGATATCTTGGGACTGTCCAGAGTCTGTTATTATTCAGAAATTTGGGAGTGAGAGTTAAAAGGAAACTGATAAAACCTCAATATCTGTAATGGCTGATTTAAGTCTTTATTTGTCAATAGAGGAAAACAAATGTTTGTTACTAATATACCAGCAGTGGTGCATTTTTCTCAGCTTCTCTCTAGTAAATGGAAACCAGTTTGCAAAAATGTATTTAAAGTTTATGATGACAAGATGACAAAGCAAGTCAAATGAGAATGTTCTGCCACAAGTTGAGTAGCGCTGTCAAAAAAGATGTGCTTTCAAAAGGCAGAGGATGCTTTCGATATGCAGAGCGCACAATTTCCACACTCATACAGTCTTGCTGTGTCCTGCATATCAGTGGAGACATTGTTAATCAGTTCAAAAAGAGACTTGGGAGTCAAATTTCAGCATGCTTTGAAAAGAGATTTCAGACTGTTTTGACTTGCTTTCTGGGTTGGTGTGATATCATGGCAAAAATGTCACATTCCAGCATTTCTGAGTTGTGGAAAAGAGTGCAGACAAGGTCACCACACGCACACACACACACACTGAGACAAAGCATAAAAAGGGGTGAGAATGAACAGAAAAACAACTGAGAAAAGACAAAAAGTGAGATTCAGAGTGTGTCTGTATGTGTGAGGGTGAATGAGAGAAAGAGAGAGAGGGAGAGATGGAAAGAAAGCATAGGTCATAACAATGAGGCTTCCAACCCCTCCCCCATCCAATCCAGTCCTCCAGTCCTCCAGTAGTCTACAGTCATGACAATAGGTCCCCTTAATACAGTCTGCCAAAACAACAATATAAACCCCCAAACAACCACAGGAATGCCTTATGTCCTACTCTGTCACTGGGATGAAATTTAAAAATGTCAACCTCTTATAAGACATGAATTGACTACTATATGGTGAAACTAAAATTGCCTTTTTTGAAGGATGGTAAGAGGATGTCCTACATGAAAATTGCAAAGTAAATTTTGTTTCTTTTGACTTTAAATTTGTTGAAATTAGATAAGTAAAGGGTAAACCGGTTTGATTAACTTTGTTTTGCAGGAGATCACACAACTATGATCGATGAGAGATCGTTTAAAATGCCCTATCTATGTTAAAGTTCTTCGCTTTGAAACTAATCTACCCCCACCCCTCTTCCCGTTCACTGGATAAATCGGTGGATGATAATTCATGGCCGAGGGGATCATTGCTGCAGTGACACTGGGATACTCTCATAGGATGAGTTGCCAAGATCTCTCACCTTGAAATTGCTGGAGTTCACCCATCCCGTTAACTCGTCTATGGTCTTATCCAGCCGGGATTTGTCCTGTTCCACGTCCTGGGAACGGTGCGGGTCGTTCAGGTAGTCAATAAGGTCCTGACCAACCTGCAACCTGCGGGTAACATCTTTCTGCAGTACCTGCTGATAAAAATAGTCCATGTTGTCATGATCCTCCATTGGGCACTCAGTGCCGAGTGGCCAGCCACTGAAGCCGGCCGAAGACAGGAGACAGTGGTCGGTGGGGCGGGTTGTGAAGCACCGAAAAAGATGTTAACTGTAGTTCCGTGGAAGGGCAGAGAGACTGTGTGGTCTGGACTGCGTCTAACTGATGTTAGACCATCAACATGCAATCCCTTATAAAAACAAACAGCTTAATTTAACACCAACCAAATCAAAAGCCCAACTTTGTGTGACAAAGACCTAGCTCGGTAGCTTCTTTACTATAAAACGTTAGCTTATAAGGTTAACTTAAAACTTCGAGAAAGTTCGGGAAACGTGTAATTGTGGTGGACCTGGCAGGTTCCCTCAATATATCTGCATCAAAACAAGCTAGCAGCCCTGGTTGGCTATCTATCATGCTAACAAAAATAGCACCTAGCTAGTTAGCACAGCGACCCAAACAAGGGCAGACCGCTTCACATCAGCTAGCGCAGCTAGCTAACGTTAGTTATCCGCAGGCCTACGCCTGGCTCCTCTCCGCCCCTCTATTCCATAACCGCAGGCTGGAAAGTCTGCTAAGCTTCAACTGTCGACGCCTTCAGCACCAAACTTGCACCAAACTTTTACAACAAGGAGACAGCTCCAGTCCCGCGGCAACTGGTTTCTCTTTAATCCTATAATAATCGCCACTACCGCTGAATCCGTTACGAGGCGCTAAAAGCTTCGCGCTGCCGGGGACTGCAGTTCACCAGGAGGCGCAGCCGATCACAGATCAGGCCGATGGGTCTTCGGGCACCGCACAGCTAGCCAGTGTGATGCCTGATGTAAAATGTCCAATTACCAAGTATACGGGGAACAACAATGCTTAAACAGGGAGATAGATACACTAGCTATATAAGATCCTATTTTTTATAACTTCATTACCCATGGCTAGATAATTAATGTTTCCCGTAAATCATGAATCTACAAGCCGCACTGCTAATGCGGGTGTTTGCCGTCTACAAAGCTCTTTGGTGACATCTAGCGGTGAAACTGCGGTAGAGCCGCGTTCAGTTTGCCGCAGTTCACTGTAAATACTGGGAGACAAAATTTCACACTGGAGAGACAAAGCACATTTACTATTAGTCACTTTTATTTATTCATTTGTTTATTTTTTTCATTTACTTATTTATTTTCATAAACATAAAACTGTTAAAACAGCTGTCAAAGAGAGGGCATTAGTATCACAGCCAGTCAAGTCAGCTATGTTTCCGAGTCCATCTTCATCTTTCTGTCTGCTCTCCTTTGTTTCAGTCCTATCCATAGTCCTGCCAATCTCCCCAGTCTTTGAGCACTTGGACTTGAGCACTACACAGCACTTGCCAGTCTCTTTATTAGCGCAATATTGCGAGCTGCTTCTGTTTTGTTGTATTTTCAGTGCTTCGAGTGGTGGTATTTCATGCCCCATACATGTGTTACTCTGCATGGCAAGACAGATAATGCTGAGATCCTGCTGATCTGAGGGAGTGTCTGTATAGAGTGAAATAAACTCTTGGTTCTGGGGCTTTCCAGTCACTGCATATCACATTCCTGTTGTCACATTAGTTTCGTAGGATTGGATGAGTGGGAATTTGTTGCTGATTCAATTAAATCTTACCAGACCCGTGTCAAAATCTATTTCTTAATAATTCCTTATGTGCTATTTGGGGCATTTAGCAAATTAATTATAGTGAATAAAGACAATTCATTATATCCTATATCATCAGTAAATTGCCCATTGCCCAATTACACAAAATTATACTAAATTAACTTTCAAATACATAAATTCATGTGATTGTCAAAAGGTTGAGGTGCCTTTGCTCACATCCTGATACCTTTAATCTCAACTTTAAGCAAATTTCCATTTCATTTTGAGGCAAAGTTGCACCAATTTTAGCCCTGATTGAAAACCAAATACACACAGCAATAAATCTGAGTGATGGACTCCACAGTCCACTTAAAAAGAGTGGGTATACCACAGTTGTATCAGTGTTACTAAACTTACTCTGAATAGTAGGGAGACTGGAAACCCACTGATGTAAACAAGTTTGTCTCTGGTGCTAACCTAATCCAGGATGTAAACAAATGCTTAAGTGGTCAAGTGGGAGCTAGTGCGCAGGGCAACTGACAGGATTGGATCAGGGCCTTTGAGCCAACATTACCACACAGTACACAGGAAAGGCCACTCATCCCAGTGGCATACAGAGTCAACATAATGCTTTTAGACACTGAGGGTCTGAATCATAGGTCCAGTTTCTTCTTTTCCAACTCAAAAAGAATGACAAACATATCTCCCTCTCTGGATAGACAGGCATGGACAATTACAATAAGCACTGAAAAAAATAAAATTAAACAACATTTTGTTGGCCTAACCCAATTTTGAGTGAGTTGCCGTAAGTGTAATTCTTTTTTTCAATTGCAAAACATTCTCTGTACAAACAGAATCAGAATCTCAACAGAAGTTTCTCAGATGCACAAATATGTCACATGTCCCAATCTGTACTTCCTGTTCATTCCCAACTCTTCCACACTAGAGAGTTGAGCTGGCTGTGCCAAAGCAACACTGTTGATATCCAGAAGATCTGCATTTCCTACAACCCAGCACTCATCTCCCTCCATGCTGCATGTTTATTGGTTGAAGCAGAATGAATCACAGAATGGTCACAAAGAGGTGTCATGTGATTGGTTGAGATGATACTCCACAGAGAGCGAACTGTTGTCCAAGATGACAGTATCGTCATTTTTTTTTTTTAGTTTGAACATGATGCATTGTAGTTCCACTGTTCAGACCTCCCATCTCCAGCTGTCCAGTTGCCGTCCTCTATGCCCGCAGGTGGGGAGTGAGGGGTGTGAAAAGCAGGATGGAGTAGAGAACCTGTTTTTGTCCTTACAGTGAGAGAAAGAGAGAGAGAGAGAGAGAGAGAGAGAGAGAGAGAGAGAGAGAGAGAGAGTGAGAGAGTGAGGCAGAGAGAGAAAAAGAGAGTCCATCCATCCATCCATGTTTCTTCCCCCAACCCCCTTCCCACCAAAAACCTGGGGCTGCTGCAAAGCTGATTGGTGAGCAAGACGAGAGGAGGGGCGGGTTCAACTGATCAGGGATCAGTGGCCATCAGTCTATGTATTGATCAGTGATCAGGAGCAGTGAGTGGGTCCAGCCCCTCCTCTCCCCTACACCTACCCCAGTCCCCCCCAACCCCATTTCAGCCCATATCAGAGCAGCAGGACCTGTAGACAGAGGTGGCCCCCCCTGGCCCTCCACTGTCAGAGGATGATGCAGCAGCGGCACAGACGCTGGCCACCTCCATGTACAGAGGGAGGGGGTGTCACTGGGGCAAAGTAGGCGTGGACCTTGATCTCTGGAAGATGGGCCTGTGTAGGGAAGATGTGCGTTATTATAAGGGTACAAACAGGCAAAAAAAAAAAAGAAAACATCACAGTAAAAGGCCCACATATGTCTGGGATTTGCTTCGGTGTCCAGTTAACTGTTCTATTTTTTTCTTGAATGAATATTTCAACATTTTCTGAAATATGAGGCTATGGTCAGCAGCAAGTTAGCTTAGCTTAGCACAAACACTGGAAACAGGAGAAAAGAGCTAGCACTCACTCTGCCTGATGAAAGCTAATCTTAAAATCACAAATTAACATGTTAGATCTTGTTTTCTTGAAGCTGTACAAAAAACAAAGGATACAAATTATAATTTATGCCTTTATGATGAAGATTATTTCTTGTCACAGCACTGATGACACATTTCCAGGAAGATCCTGTTCACAGCAAAGAAAATAGTAATCTCCGTGAGACAGGGGTTATGTGTCCTTTTTATGCATTGATTTTTGTACGGATTAAAGAAACAAGATGTGTTGTGTTTATTAGTGAGCTTTAGAGGTGCAAGTTGTTGGATGGTGTTACCTTCAGACAGACCCAAGCTAGCTGTTTCCCCTTGTTTCCAATCTTTATGCTAAGCTAAGCTAACCGGCAGCTGGCTGAAGACTTACATTTAACGGCAAGTTGTACCCATCTCTTCATCTAAATCTCAGCAAGAAAAAAGGTATATTTCCCAAAATGTCAAACCATTACCTATAATGCATAATGACACAACATGATTTTTAGATACAATATTGTAGGGTAAAACTAAACAGAGAAGAGATGAAAAAGATCCTCGGATGCAATCATTCATAAGAGCACACTTTATTTCCCCATGATTTCCACTGACCCGGATGCGTTTGATGCCAGCCCTGGTGACTTGCTGACAGTCGTAGAGCTCAATGCGCTCCAGACGATGGCAGCTCTTCAGGTGCTCCAAGGTAACATCAGTGATGAGGGGGCAGTTGTCCAGCTCCACCACAGTGAGGCGCTCTTGGCCACAGGTACTGCTGCTCAGAGCTCTGATGCCATCATCTGTGATCAGCTCGCAGTGGGACAGGGACTGTGCGCAACACAGCAGACAGGGATGAAGACACAAAGATAGATGGATTAAAGCTCCATAAGCAATGCAGACAGGCTGAGGCAGAACCTGGCACAAAATCAGAACTGCAGGTGTAGATGTTTACCAGTGCTTGCAGGCGAGGGCAGTGGATAGACAGCTGAACCAGGGTGTTATCTGTCACCTGAGGAGAGGACAAACTTGATTAAAGTACTGTTCTCACATGTGTAGAGACAGCTGAGAGGCTCACTTCTCAGTCTTGGGAGGCATGTGTTGCATGTTCATGTCTACCTACAAAAAACTTTTTTCTTCTGTGTCACCTCTTCTCTGTCTCCCTCTCTGCTTTCTGTCACAAGTGATTTAAATACTAAGGTCATTAGACTGCCTACTCTCCCTCTTGGCAGAAAACAAACGCTACAATACACACAATCATGTCTGTCTTTTTCAAACCATGCAATATCTATCCAAACAGATAAAAGCTACCCTAAATAAATACCATGGAAAGGACAAATTCTCTTACCAAAATACATTCTTCTAAGTCCATTTTTTCAAGCTCATGACAATTCTGTGAAGATAAACAGATTGTTTTAGCTTTTTGTGTGAAAAGCATTTCATTTAACTCAGAGATATCGAGGTGAAATGGGCAGTTGACCCAACAAAGGGTTCTCAGATAAGCAAACAGGAAGAAGAGAGCAAAATGAAACTCACCCTGGCCAGCACAGTGAACCCTGCGTCCGTAACATGGGAGCATCGTGCAGCTTCAAGAATCCTGAAATCACACAGACACATGCAAGACTTGTGAAAACCGCTCGGAGTGGTGTGCAACTGGAAACACTGTAGGATTATTGTGACTCATTGTGTGTTTAATAATGTTTACAACAACAATAAATCATCAGCCTGTCAGTCTGAGGTGAATACTGAAGATCACTGTAGGACACAGTGGGCTGCATTGGGCAGTCACAGACTCTTCTTCAGGTCTAAGAAGTGATCCTGATGAAAAGCCAAAAATGTAGGACCTTTTAGTCATAATTTACATCGATCCCGTTCATTTTCTGAAGCTAAATGCACCTGCAGAACCATAAATGCATACAGTGGATCTAGTCCATTTTTTGGAAATGGTAGCAGCCACACAGCCTAAGACGGATATTTTGTAGATACCAAAGCAAGCTGTTGGTCTCCTCGAGAAGGATGGTGGGACAGGTGTCTTTGTGTATCTTTGTGTATATATGTGTATGTGTGTGTGTGTGTGTGTGTGTGTGTGTGTGTGTGTGTGTGTGTGTTTCTCACTTGAGTCGGGGACAGTTGAGTCCCAGTGCAGTGAGAGAGGCATCCGTGATGTTACTGCAGCCAGACACACAGAGGATCTGTAGCTTGTGGCATCCTCGGCACAGACTGACCAGGCCTTCATCTGTTATTTGCTGGAGGCAACAGAAGACAACACAAAACAAATGAAGAAAACACTGAGGCATAAAGACACAACCCTCATGCTTTTTTAAGAAAAAAATCAGTCTCTCCCTCCTCCAATCCCACAACAAAATGTTTGTCTTACTGTGCAAGACTGCATATTGATGGTGGTGAGTTCTGGGCAGTGTTTCTGAAGGTGTTTCAATGCTCCATCGTCCAGCTGGGTTGAAATTAAAAAAAAAAAAAAGAAAGCACAATACTGTCAAGACATATGTGACTGTGTTGATGTATATTCTATGGCTAAAAACCAGAAATCAGTGACTTGTGATGAATTACTTTTGAACAATTTCACCCTGTTCCCTGTTTTTCCATTAGTTGAATCAATAGTGATATTCACATGTGACTACTGACCAATGTGAGCACCCACTCATGGAGGTTTCATGCTTTTTCTCCAGGCAAGAAAAATAGACTAGACTTTGGTTGGAAAACAACTGAGCACAAAGCCTGAAGAAAAAAAGCAAAATCTGCTACAGCATAAAAAATAAAAAAAATAAAAAAATTTAGTATAAAGCACAGATACCATTGAAGTGAATTTTCAGTAGTGGTAAAGAAGTGTACTATATCTTATGATTTTGGTTTTTATGTTAAGAAATCTGAGACTTTACAGGTATTTGTTTTGAGTTTTCTGTGTTTTTACCATTTCTTTAAAAACATTTTTTTACAGTAAACTGTAGTCAACAGTGTCCTCAGCAGGAGGTAACACCAACAACATCTTGAAGATAAAAAACAGATGTGTTTTAACCAGTCTGCTCCTTTGAAACAATTCAGGTATTTTACAGTGAAACTTTGTATCAAGCACAAAAGGTTAGTTTTAACCATCGCCTTTTTGATCTTTATTTTTTTCTTTTATGCTACATGGGCTACATACGGAGCCACGAATCAAATGTTTAATCACCAATATGAGGTAAAAATGTATTTTAAAATGGAATTTAAAACAACAATGGAAAGAATCTAAATGCCTAGTAAAGTTTTTGAAGAAGGCATAATATTTCCTGCCCTGAGTGTCCGTATGTGTATGAAACACTGTACCTGTGTGCAGCCTCTGAGGAACAGTGCTCGTAAACCAGTGCAGCCTCTAGCCAGAGCCTCAATACCGTCACGTGTGATCTGGTCACACCATGACAGGTTCAACATCTCCAGCATTCTGCAGCCATCACTGAACACAGACAGCCACACAATTCACAATACACACACAGTTAGATACAGAGTTAGATACAGAGAGTGTTATGTGTGACTGTACAGTATGTTCTCAGGATGTAACAGGTGAGGGCTTTGTACTGACAACTGTTTCCACTTTAGTACTGACAGGGGATTTGTTATGTTAGGGTTTAATTAGTCAGGTTAGGGTTTAGTTGGGTACTACCTGAGAGCCTTGAGGGAGTGGTTGCTGATGGACACACAGGAGGTGAGATCTAGGTGTTTGAGTTTGGAGCAAAACTTGCTGAGGCTGAGGCAGGTGCTGTCTGTGATCTTGGTGCAGCCGTTCAGATTCAACACCTCGATGTTTCTGCAGTTCTGAGCAAATGTCCTGGGAAACAGTCGAACAGTGATGAGGGAGAAGGGAGATTACTCAAGAGTAGCTTCATTGAATAAATAAGCTGGGAGTTGCTCGGGAGCCAATTAACAGAGTCATCAGCAGGCCCAAGGGAGGTTGTTGTAACATCTACTGCATGTTTCTGTTTTTTTCATGTCGCTGTTATATGAAAGCCTCCAAAGAACAGCTTGTATTTCTTTAAATCAGTTGTTTATAGAGGTGTTAGAAATCTTCAAGTGAAGCCATGTAAATCTACAGATCAAGAGGTTCCATGTAAAAACAAAATTACATCACCAGTGGTCTTTCTTTGTTTTTGTTTTACTGTGTGTGTGTGTGTGTGTGTGTGTGTGTGTGTGTGTGTGTGTGTGTGTGTGTGTGTGTGTGTGTGTGTGCATAGTAAAGTGAGATGGAATCAACAAAAGAGTTTCTAGCACAGAGTCCCATGGGACTGAACGGGCACAAGCGGCTTTAACTTTAAACATTATCACACAGGGACAAAAAAACTAAGTAATCAAAGCAACAAAAGAATGGCTTTAAGTAAAAGCCAAATCAAAACCACACAATAATTAGTGGTCAGTGTATGTCAGAGAGACAATATAATCTCACTTCATGGAGGCATCTCCCACGCTCAGGCAGCCCCTGAGGCTCAGCTGCCTCAGGAAGCCTCCACAACGCTTCGAAATGTTCTCCACCACCCGCCCCTGAGAGACAGAGGGACACACAGAAAGAGGGAGAGAGAGAGTGATATGACTTGGACCACAGGACAGAGGATCAGCTGTGACGTCACAGTCACCACCAAAGCCTACTGACCCAGCACTAAGCCTTGGGCTGGATAATGCTACTCAACGAGCACACACGTTCACACACCCATGCAGCACATATAGGCAAGCACACACACACACACACACACACACACACACACACACACACACACACACACACTGTCCATTCAACCCCCTCACTCTTCACCCCTCACCTCTATGTCTGTCTGGAAGTTGAACAAGTCGATCTTCTGCCAGTTGCTGCCATCTAGGGCCAGGACATTCCACGCCTGGAAGGTGGCGGACAGGTTGTGGACAGAGATAGACAAGTGGGTCAGACAGAGGTGGAGGAAGGTGAAGCTGTTATCATAATATGTGGGAGAACCTCTACAGAATATCTGTAGGTTTATGTACACAGCAAACACTTTTTGTTTCTTTCTTCATGGAGCAAGTGCAGTAGCTGGTGTTTCCACTTCTTACACTGCTTCCTTCTAGAGCCTCTCAAATGTGAGGATTTTGCAGCTTTTCTTTATTTCGCCATTTTGATTGGACGAAACAAGACACTTGATTACATCACTTTGGGCTCTCTGAGATAATATGGGGATTTTTCACTGTTGCCTGATACTTTATAGTCAGAGCAACTGATTAGAAAATAATCAGAAGACCAATCATAGCAATGGCTGTAAATGTAGGTATAGAGTTTGCCTGCATGAAACTAGGCAGACTGGAAGTACACTACCCCAAAACAAGTAATGATGGAAAAAAAAAAAATCAAAACTGCACTTTGTGCTTTGTCACTGCGACATAATATTATACATTGGAGCTTTTGTAAGAGAAGCAGCCACCACAGCTCTGCATTCACAGTCCACGTGCCAAGCTCTTGTTATTATTCACAGATAGCTCATTCATAAATGGCTTTCAGCTGCAGTGCACTATGGCAAAGCAGCAGTCCACTTCCACATAACCAGCAGATGGCACTATATCATAGACATTTCCAGAGAATTCAACAATGGTAAACGGGTTTTAATTTAACCACCACCACCATTTATACAATAGTTTATAAAAATACATCAATGCATTCTTTTAAAATCATGAGTGTGTTAGTCTATATTGGGTGGCATGGAGGTGCAGAGAGGGAAGTGCTTACCTTGGATACTTGGGCACACCTACAGAGTGTTACCACATCTAGATAGGAGAATATTCTAGGTAGAGAGACAATAAAACAGGATGAGTTTGTCTCAGATGAATGAAGGCCATCAGATAAAGAATTCAGTTTCCAGTTAAACTTTTTATTTGGATATCTTTCCCTTTTGTGTAAGTGAATATATGTTTTTAAGTCTGTAGAAAACAGAACAATCCCCTGTGTTTGGTTGGTAGCAGGAGAGCCCCACAGACAGGCAGTGTTTGAGCTGTGGGCCGGTCATCCACAAAGGGCTGCATGCAGCAGGCTACTGGGTCAGCTCAATCCATTAATCTGCCAATGAGTAATCTCTGGAACTCAGACAGGCAAGGCCACAGACAGCCTGGGATAGATAGATAAACATATATACATATACAGGAGCATACACACATATATGACCCCCAATATCCTCTGAGTTCCTGGTGGTTAAATGGTCTGTTACTGCTCAGAGAAGTGCCTTAAGGGGGCAATCTATACAAAATTTGAGGTATTCAGAGAATTGTCATGGTGCCAAAGCTTTGAGTGCAGCTGGGGTCTGAATGTCCTTTTAACCCTAGGAAACAGGAGCTGGCCATTGTTTCCTTCATATAGACGCAGACAAAAGCCGTGTGTTTTGATGTGTGTTAGGCCGGGGCATGTTGGGACATGTCTGTATAATCTATACCCGAGTCTTGTGTCAGGGAGTACATGGATACAATCGACAAAGCAACGCAAAGACACCCACACACATGCACACACGTGACACACATGCACGCTCACACATCCAACATGTGGACACACACACACACACACACACACACACACACACACACACACACACACACACACACACACACACACACACACACACACACACACACACACACAACACACAGTCCTTGAAATGATTGCAGGCCACCAGAGAAGCTGACCAATCAAGTGGGTGCTCATCGATCTCCATTCTAATAACTGGTTAATGGCTGTGACGCTGATCATTGATTGACTGTCTGTTTTAATCAAACACTCTGACTTTCCATTATGTGCGAGGGAGGCCTTTTACCAACCAGAGAAGAATTCTGCTAATCATACTTACAGGGAAGCAATCAATCAATCTGATTTGATCAGATCAGCTCTGACTTTTTAGATGAAGAGAGGTTGCTGAATACAGACAGACTATAGAGTTTTTCATAAGAATGAGAAGGATAGACAACAGAAAGGGGAGTCAGTGACATAACAGAGCTAAAATCAGAGGTACAACATCATGAAGACTGTATGTTTTTCACTTTACTAAACACAAGGAAGCCCTAATGCTGCCTTTTGAACACAGGCAGAACAGAAAATAAGTTAATAGCCTTTGATTGTTCTGTCAGATCCTACCTGGGTATGCCCTTTTATTCTGACATGGCACATAATAGGATTTTAATGGAGCATAGTCCCATTTGTTGACAAAATGTACACCTGGCCCTTCAAGCATGGCTAGATAAGAGAGAGTGGAGCCTTCACCATGAGTCTGGGACTGGTTGCCATAGTAACTCCAGTCAGACATGAATTTGGGTGATGGCGGGGAGGGTGCTGAGTCAGTGCTTCTGGGTAAGAGGACCCTGAACCACTCTGAACTCTCTCCAAGGCTCGTCTGTCAGACAAGGTTCTTCTATATCACGGCACAGTTTTCACAGTTAATATCCATGCTGCACTGTCCTAGATAACAGCTGTTTACAATGCACCGGCTGAAAGGCAGACGAGCGCAAAAACAAGTCAGGTACTCAGGCTCGCTCACAGTGATACATTAAACATAAACACTAATGCTAATGAGAACACTAATTAGTCAGATTAACAGATTCATTAGCTACTATTCCTATGGCAACATACCTGCCAACACATACCACATGGGTGGTATCCATAAACTTATTGCTGCTTGCAGCTCCTCGACACAGGCCACTATATGTCTGAGTTGTGAGCAGTTTAACCAAAGGGTGGGTTTCTCCTCGAAGCTTCTTTCATTGTTTAATTTTAAAGCTGCAGCAATCAGTCAATTAATCAATAAGAAGTTCAACAGAAAACTGATTAGGAAATATTTTGATAATCAAATAATGATCAATTTAAGTCATATTCCAAGCAAAAGTACCAAACTCTAACAGGACGGTTTGTCTTTTCTTCAGTGTCTTTGGGTGTTGGATTGTTGGTAAAAATCAAACAAGCAATATTAATATTTTATCTTTGCAATGGAAATTTTCTATTTAACATATTACTCTAAAAGTGGTGTAAATTGAGGGCATAACATTTGTGATTCTTGAGGTCTACATACAGATCTTATTAATACTACTGGGACAAAACAATGTCCCTCACTGTGTATCATGGTGACAGGGCATAACCAAATTATAAATATAAAAAAGGCTCGAGTCAACCCACTTTCCATGGTTTATAAACAAGATTTACTGCCATCACAATGAGGCTTCCTCACAGCTGATGTTGTGTAAGTGTCTCAACATGACACATGTGACAGTAGGTCATGTGTTGTAGCCAGGAAGTGCATGTGAGTGCATGTTTTTTCTGTCCACCAGTGAGAGTGTGCTGGTGGTAATGGGTGTACTGGTAGTCTCCGTGGAGACACAGCTGGAGCAGCAGAAGAGCACAGCACTGCGGAATTCCCCACCAGCTAAGACAAGCTATTTATAGCATACATACACAGACATACAGTTTGCATAGACCCAGGGGTGTTTCACACATGCACACACACACACACACACACACACACACACACACACATAAACGCAATACCCAAGTGCAGAAAATAAACAGGCCACATCATGTGTCTGCAGAGAAACATGCAGGTGCATCCCTTTTAACACACATGCACACACACACACACACACACACACAAATCCATATATAAATCAATGTGGAGGACGAACACGAGTGAGTGCACGTGTGATGTCAGATTTATGGGTCATGCTCAGCTGCTGCTGTGAGACAAAATATTGGTCTGTAGGTCACACTGTTAACAGAGCCTCATTTCAGACTAGTGACCAACATACATCATACAACACACACACACACACACACACAGACAACTACAGTACACAACACACTCACACACACACACACGCACACAAAACAAGTGACAAAACAAATATACATACACACACTCCTACACAGTCCTACACACTGTTCAAGGCTGCTTCAGCTAATGAGTAACCCTGACCTAAGCCCTTGTCCCAGGGTATATTGTGTTTGCTTATTTGTGTGTGTGTGTGTGTGTGTGCGTGTGTGTGTGTGTGTGTGTGCGTGTGTGTGTGCGTGTGTGTGTGTGTGTATTATTAATCTTACCTAAGAAGAAGCTCTTTGGGGAGCTTCTTGTTAATGGGGGCTTCATCGCTGTTTGAGAACACCTGCCGAGACACAAGATAAACAATAACATTGAGTCAGTGTGTGTGCATGTGTGTGTGTCAATATGTGTGCGTTTGAGGTGGTCAAGAGCAATGAGACAGAAACAAGACACAAGCTGTTACAATCGCGACACAGATCAAAAGAGAAACTGGACAGCATCATTATCATCTTCAGCAAATCCACCACAAGAAGACTACAGCAAGTAGATCTAAACCAGTCTTATCTTATTTCACCAAATCAAATGTGTTTAATACAAATAGACCCTTGCACTATATTGGTATAATTGATAAATAAGCTATTATTTCCTTAAGCTTTACTAATATACAAGCTAGAGCTACATTTGGCTTTTCACATCCCCTCCTTACAAGCTTATAATTCTGTTAGCCTGGTCAGCCTGTTGGCATGCTTATCTCAATTAGTCTACTCGCTGGATGTCTGGCCATCTGCTGAATGGGACACACACACACACACACACACACACACACACACACACACACACACACACACACACACACACACACACACACACACACACACACTCGCAGGTGATTCAAGTCAGACCTCTCTATGTGAAGAACAGAGGCAGAACATTCTAGATCAGGTGGGCTGTATTCAGTCATGAATTTAAATTACGGCAAACACCCACATTTGCTGTGCCTCTGCAGACACACATCCTCCCGGTGATACACTTGTATCCTCAAAGACTCAGAAACTGTATCTAATGAAGGGGACTCCCTGCTGTTTCACGCGCAAACACAAACAGCGAAATGTGGAAAACACAAAGGGGAGCGAGGAAAAGCTCAGGAGGAGCAAAGGTTGATTCTGTGAATGTCTTGGCTCCAGATACCTCCATGACAGTCGCAAGCTCCTTGAAAGAGAAAGCAATAAAGGAAGATGGGAGAAACAGAGAGGAAGTGGGGAAGCAGAGGGAAGTAAGAGACAAAGAAATGGTGCTACAATCGGCGACTACTGGAAAAATATGTGCAAAAGTCAGTTGTTAAAATCAGAGAGAGAAAGGAGGTGGATGAGAGGGGAGAACGGCGAGGAGGGAGGAAGGAATGAAGGCTATTTAAAAGGAAGTGAGGTCAAAAAAGGACAGTTGGTCCAGTCAGGGTCCAGCAAAAGATTAACTCCACTGGTTTGAATTTTAACATCTATATTTAGGTAACAACACAGCAGACAAAGTGGTCTGAAACGCAGTTCTGAACCTATTGATTAACTATATCCAATAATAGCTCCAGGTTATAGTTAAAACCTTGTCGATCACTGGTCCCCATATGCCCCTGTTTTGAATGACACAATATCACAATCTTCCCATTAGTGTTAGGGGCAACTACCTCTATGGGAGGCTTAATAAAGGTTGAACAAGAGTTTGATACAAATGCTTTGGAATAAAGCCTTAATCATTACCATGTGACTCACTATCAGTTATATTCAGAACAGTGTCAACCGAGTGAACGGAAAGTAAATTGACCTTAACTGTACATTACTGTATGTACTGAATGTTAGGAAGAGAACTGTCAACACACAAGGCCTACAGTATATTAACTCAGTGTCTCTCTAAAGACAGAGGTGGCTTAGGATTTAGGACTAAATTTAGACTTAATTCCAAACCACCTCTGTAACACATCACTCACCTTTGACCTCTCCTTCAACAGACACATGGTTACAAACAATCTAGACAGGCTGGGATAGAACCTTATGGGTTTTATATAAGATAGCACTGAACATAGGCCACAGTCTTTACATGATGTGGTTTAAAGCAACAAACTGAAACATTTATTGCATAGTGGTATCTACTCTGGTACTGTCCAGACTAAGAAAGTTAATCACCAATTTTGATGTTTGAGTAATCATTTAAGTTATTTATCAGGGAAAAACACTAAACATTTGCCCCTATTCTTTATAGGATCTAGGATTATTTTCATTATCGATTAACCTGTTGATTATCTTCTTGATAAATCAACTAATCTGCTACATAAAAGATAATAAACCTGTGAGAAATGTTCAACACAGTTTCTCAAGCCCAAAGTGATGTTTGTTTTGATCAGCCAACTGTCCAAAAAACTAAGATATTCAGTTTACTATAGAACAGGAAACAAAAAGCACCAAACTCTCAGATTTGTGAGGCTGGAACCACAAACTATTTCATTAGTTGCTCATTAAATTTCTGTCGCCAAGCAACTAATTAACTAATCATTGCAGCTCTAATATCATTGTAAACTGAATATTTTGGGGTGTTGGACTGCTGGTCAGACAAAACAAGAAATTTTAACGAAGTAACCTTGAGTTATCAGAACTTATGATGGACGTCTTTCTGTATTATTTATGAACAAAACAATTAATCAACTGATCTAAGAAAATTACCTACAGATTAATCAATAATGATTAAGACCCATTTCCTATAAATTTCATTTGTGCGTCAGTGGAAAGAAAGTCAAAAAGTTGATCAACACAAAAAAGTTAGCATACAGCCTCTCTCTCTCTCTCCGTGTTGTGTAACCCAAGCCCCACGAAAGACGTTGCCAGATGCAGTGGCATGAACACAGTATTTGGTGTGTAATCTCAGCCGTAGATATGGCATCATGACAGCAAGGGTCAAAGCCATCTCTGGTACGCGTGCTCCATTAAAATTATCACCTCAGCATTCTGGTGCCCTCGTTCCCTGTGCCAGCAGAGCAGCATTCCCAAGCAGGGAGTTCCTCTCTGCAGTCATACTCCTATTCCTAGACAGTGTACAACAGGGTGAATATGCAAATCTGGGTTTTGAACTTGTGTGGCTCAGGTCTAGAGTTTCTTTGCCACAATAAAGCAGCTATGAGGAAATTAGATCTGTGTCATCTGCTGTGTTCAGTTTCAGGGCTGCAACTACAAGGGCTTTGCACCAGGTGTTCATTATAAAGCATCATCTCAGGTGTTAGGCTATTAGACAACCCTCCCATGTCCTACTCTATAACCCCCTACTCTTCAGTCCCTCTCTCTCTTACACACCAGCTTGTTTCCCACTGTATGCTGGTTTTCATCTAAGAAGCTTATAGCCCTGTTGAGAAATCCACTGATACGGCAACACACATCAGCACCACAACCGCCTTCTGTTCTCACTCACTCACATGTAGACACACATGTTGGTACATAAGCAGCCGAAACACCTGACGGACAAAGTCAAGTACCATCAAGTCAAAAAGAATCTCAACAATGCATGAATAATGTCAGAGATAAACAATGCTAACAGCTTACTGGACTCACAACCAGTTGGGTGGGAGCTGATTTAAGGCTTGTGGACAATTACAAGGAAAACGTTGACACAGCAAAACATGGTAATTATTATGCAACAGGTATTACAGATCAATCGAACTAAATTGATCTTCAAAACCATCTGTAAAACTGTGTGCAGACGAGTATGGCTGGAAAGTGACTTCACTCAAATACTAAATACTAAATAAGTAGGCATACAGTTTTGAGGTATTTGCTTTGTACTATGCTCTTTTATACTTTAACTACTTCTACTACATTTCAGAAACAAATATTGCACTTTTTACTCCACTGCATTTACTGTACTTGACAGCAGTGGTTGATGGTTACTTTGAAGATTTGGTTTTTATATAAAAACATGATTCCTGTGTAAAATATTACTTACTGTCATAGATTTAACAATGCAACATTATATGAAGTAGAAAAAAATTTAAAATTTAAAGTTTGACCAGCTACAACATAAAATGCTGCATACTCAGTGATCAGTAATAACCTCTAGTAATGTGACACTGACAGGGATCATCCTGCCTGCTTTATGAGTTTACTGTTGATACTTAGCTGCTAATAATTCTGTACTTGTACATGTAAATACAAGTAATATTTTGAATGGAGTTGCTTGACATTAAGTATTTTTTTTAACCTTGAGATATTGCCACTTTTACTTTAGATGAGAATACTTCTTTCATTACTGCAGTTGAGCACTGAGCTCTAATATTCATGAAAGGGTGTGTGTTTACCACTTTCCTGCAAAATCATCATTGAAATGTGGTAAGGTTGTGGGAGGATATAAGATCATTTATAGCACCTGTGTAACATACTATCTTATTACTGATTCTTAAACACAAAACTGTCTGTAGTGTGCCAGGGACTCTCAGAGAGCCACCCAAACCTCCTGTGGCACCTGTCATTCACAGGTATTAGAGGAGGTGTCACCTGCCAAACCCAAGTGATGACTAATTGAATGCTGCTACACTGCTTGTATTAACAACATTACTCTCCATCTGCAGCCCCCTCTCCTGAAAGCCTGTAACCTCAGGCGACAGTGCCAGCCAGCCTCGGCCCTGATATATTGACAATCCTCAGCCACAGCCCTCCTGTCCCGCAGTCCTGAGCTCCATGTTGTCGCTGTCTACTGGTGCGGCAGGACAATAACAGGATTTCGGATTACCCTTGACCAACAAAACGCCTCGGCTCCTGACTGAATGTAAAATTAGGAGCAAAGCACGGTGGACCACACACACACACACGCACACGCACTCACACACACACACACACACATTGCTTATACAAACCCACGACTCCCACGTCTACTAGAAACAAACAGTTTAACCGCTGGTGGTCCACTCCCTCTGTCATACCTCGAACCGGCCCTTGGTGATACCGTTCATGTCTGCGGCGGCACGTCCCTGCTACAAACCGCACAGATACCAGCCGAACCGTTTGACGACTGCCGTTATTGTTTTTGTCGCCGTTTTATTTTTGGTCGGTCGGAGTGTAGGAGCCGAGCTGGAGCTGGGTCCTCACACCCTCCCTCCCCTCCTCCTCCCCCCCAGCCGTCAGCGAGGCTCCTGTCTCCGGGTCAGCGAGGCGGTGGTGAGGGTGGTGGTGTCGGTTCCGGGGCGGCCTGCGGTAACGTTAACGGTCGTTGTCTCGGAGACCAACGGCTCCCCAGCCCGTCTCATCGCAAGGCTACCAAAATAACAATAATAACATGGACGGTCTGTCAAGTGACTTCACTTCCGCCTCTCCCTTCATCGCTCCAGCGCAGGTCAGCTGGCCCCAGGATTCACAAGTTTGCTAAAAACACACGGGAAACGTGAAGTCAACGTCCGCTTTCATCTCCCGCACCATATTTTCTCGCATCAAACACATGTACGGCGACTGGCACGACCGTTTTCTTCAATGTTTTCTGTTTACTTGCGGGGAAGGGGAGGGCCTACGTGACGTCATTGCTGCGGGAAAAGCACGCGTGGTCGATTTGTTTTGATTGTGGGGGGCTTGCAGAGGTTTTGGCGAATTACGACAAAGGATGTTCTTTTTTTGACCGCAATCACCGAGACAGTCACGGGAACAACAGCACCGAGACGTGACCTGACACGAGCCCGCTGGGTCTGATTAAGGGAAGGAAACACACACATCTGAGAACGCCAGCTCCAGGAGCCAAGATTTTCTCTCCAATAGAGATCTCCATCACTGTCACATTCAGCCTTCAACCTGCAGACACACACACCCTGAACAACTTGCACGAGTCATCTCTGCATTATATAAACTGCTTACATATATACAGCGGTGGAGGTCACACTGTAAAAAATACTCCACTACAAGTCCCGCATTCGGAATCTTACTGCAGTAAAAGCACAGAAGTATCAGCAACATGCATTTATAGTCACAAAAGTAACAGTACTACTCTAATGCCAAATGGCCCCTTTCATAGTGTTACATGACCCCTTTCATAACCTATAACCTATTATAGGATTTTCACCGGTATAGCAAATATTTTACACTTTATTATAAAGTATTGGGCAGTTTGATCTACAAAACCTAAGTCTTATAAAGACATTTGTGTCAGCCTGTTTTTGATGTAATCTGTGAAAAAATTATCTATAGGCTACATGACGGTTTGCATCTTGAAAAAAAAAAAGCAGCAGTAGAATTACTTTTTAAAAAGTTGGGGAAAAAAAGTTGGCTGGATGACTTGCATGGAAAACAGGTTGAAGTATTCCTACTACATTGGCACATTTGTTTTCACTTTTTATAATAAAAACAGTAACATCTTTAAGGATTAATTTCCATAATAAAATTACTTGATAAGATGAAGATGTTTTCACCAAACAAGGCCAGAAGTTAATCCTATGTTTTATATAAAAATAGTCTGCAAAATATGTAACTATAGTTGTCAAATAAATGTAGTGGAGTTAAATAAAATGGAATGGAAAAATCGAAATGCTCATGAGCCATAAGTACCTCAAAACTGTACTAGTATAGTATTTGTGTAACTCTACTTAGTTTTCATTCTGCCTCTGGCTATCAAACTGCAAAGTTCAAATAAGGCTGATACTTGATATCACAGAAAATACAGAGTCTGTAGGCAATATTATTATCATTCTGTGGGGGACTTTAACTAAGTACATTTACTTAAGTGTTAACAGTTCTGAGGTATTTGTGAGGTATGAGTACTTCCATTATGTGATAGTTTATACTTCCATGTGACTGCATATCAGAGTGCAATTTTTTTTGTTTAACTACTTTTGTCTTTTAGCTATAGGCCTAGTTACTTTTCGGGTTAATTTTCATTTAACAGTTATGATTAGTTTCTAGACATGATGCATTGCTTAAAGCATTTTATAAATTAATATTTCATTTTCCATTAGGAAATATGAATAAGACAGGTTTTTTTTTCTTATTTCAAGATACAGACCCTAATTTCTTGAACATATTTTAAACAAGTTGATTTAAATTAGAAACAGGTTGATTTTTACTGTGCAATAGATTTGTTTCACAAGTTGTTCAGAACATCATAAGCAGAAATTACTTTAAAAAGTTTTGCTCCTCTCTGGCAATTAACACAAAATTTTACTTTACATACTTTTGGTGATACTGTGATAATACAAGACTTTCCCTTGTAATGTATTATTTTTACATTGTTGCACTGACACTTTTACTTAAGTAAAGGAATCAAATACGTTTACCATCATTATTGCAGGTTTGTAGTCAGGGCTGCAGACAGACTATAGTGTGAGTTATAGATCCATAGTGAAATATCTTCACGCGTGTTCTCATAATCCACAGCTAGAGGGCACTCTATGCTACCACACTAATCTCAGTTCATCCTGTACTCTGACAAGGACAAAATCACTTCAGCACACAGGTTACTTTGGTTACTATGGTGTAACTACGTGGAAATAGGACAGGACCTTAAGGGGCAAAACGTACTGCACTTAAATACAATTTTGAATATGCTTGTATTTTAGTTGAATATTTCCATTAACTGTTATTTTCTACTACAACTCTGAGAGAAATGTTCTAGGCCCTATTTTTATTCCACTACTACATTTATCTTATTAGTTCTTTTGTAAATATGGGTTTTACTTTTCATTCCCTCAGTTCCAATATCTGTTTGAAGTGCCATTTTTGCATTTCATGTTTTAATGTAACTTCCCGTTTTCTCCTGCTATTTGAGACTATTTTTGTCTCAATATCCTATATAGTTATTATTTATTGTTGTATTTAGTACCTTGTGATTCGTTTTTTACAGCTCACTTGTATATAGCAGATGTTCATAATGTATATACAGTAGTATTATAGTATAGTCATCTTATGTACAAAAGACATAATGGATATAGGAAAACATACACTGTTATAGATTTATATAGAAACTGTCCAGCAGCATATAAAATGAGTTTTACCATGACCAGCTACGACATTAAATTTCTGCTTCCACACAAATGCATCAGCAATAACAATGCAGTTATGTAATATATATATGACATGGAACCACTCTCTATAATGACTTTTACTTTTGACAAATACTTTTACTAAATTTTGTTGATGATACGTTTGTACTTTTACTGAAGGAAGATTTTCAATGCAGCACTGTGACTTACACTGGAGTACTTTTACAATAGTTCTTCCACTGGGGGCAGCAGAATAGATATCCATTAGATACAGAAGCATGTTCTCTCAGGTCTTCCCAAGGCTACAACAATGGCTGGATTATCAACCGGGCAAAGCTGGCACCTGCCATGTGTCACAATGTGTGACAATAGCCTTTTGACACAATGGGGAAAGCACAATTGTAAACAATAAACTTAACGATGCTGAATTCAGTTTAGCAGCTTCACTTTAAGGAGCCTGGTATTGTTCATGCTGGATCACTGTCACACTGTCGTGACTTACTGGGCGGTTATAGAACAGAATCATCATCAATGTGATTAGTAACACCTGTGCTTTTCAAAATGTCTTCTGTGAAAAAGGCCTATCAGAAAAAAAAGTATAATTGTCCCACTCTAACAAGTTTAACAAGACTAACAGGAGAGTGAGACGGATGTCATTTAAGGACAGGCTGTACATGCCCACACTTTTCTGAGAAGAGGCCTAATCAGGGAACTAAGTGAAAACACCTGTGAGGGTGAACTACAGGTGTGTGGTGCATATTATATACAGAATAATAATAATGTGCTTCTCAGTGAATATGTCTTTGCCCTTAAAACCTTTCTCACGGCTGACATTTTGATTGTGTAACACAGGTGTATCTAATAACATTATTGGCTGAATTATATTCAGGTGTGCTGAGGCTCCCTGATGCTGTGTATGCTTGCTCACTCGCCGTACACTTAACATGACAGAGAGCCAGCCACCTGTGCCTGCTGTCCTGTGTTTAATCCTAACCATGAACCTAACCATAAGTTACATCATAATTATTTGATTGGTAGAGCTTGTCAGTGGAGCCACAGTTTTTGCACCAAAGAGTCAGGGGTTCCCAAAATTTCAAGGCCTCTAAGAGGATTTTCTTTTAGCCCTGCAACCTCTGATTAAAAGGATTTTGAGGATATTTATAAAGGTTTGTTAAGCTATTGTTAAAAACTGAGGGGTATTAGTGAAGAGAGAAATTTGAGCAGAAATGTCAGACTTCGTTCTGGGATTTATTTGGACTACCCAGTGCACAAGAAAAAAGCATGAAATGTAACCATTCCTTATTTTCTCACAGTGAGTATACACTGGATTACTGTGTAACATGTGGATGGAAGAGACATGACTCAGATTGCCTGTGTGTGCATGCTGACAGGAACACATACACTTCATGATGCTTTTGCTAAAATTTGGTCTTACATCTATGTGCTGCACGTTTTCAATCTTTTCGTCACCCCATCTCACTTCATTGCATGGTAATTAACAATCTCTCATCAAAAGTCAAATTAATTAACTCAGTTCTTTGAATAGCTCCGTGCCCTTCTCATCCTGATTCAGCTGTGGCTGGCAGCTCGGTGTTGAATGTGCCCTGACTATCACAGTGACTATATTAATGTCAAGCAAGGCCATCTCTGTTAAACACATCACGCTTCTACAGAGTCTTTCAAATGAAAAGTTTACCTCAGCCGTTGATACACTATGTTTAAGAAGTCAATAGGGGTTTGAATACAATTAATGTTTGTGGTTCAATCACAGTGTTTAAAGACGTATTTGTATAGACTGGTGTTTTTGCCAAAACCTTTATTTTTTGCCTCCTCTTATTTTGCATCCATCCTGTTTTCTTGTCTATTTGTCATGTTTTTTAATGTTTTCATTTACTTATTAGTTTGATTACAGGTTTCAGTAGTCACTACAGTAGTCTCTTTAATCTCATACTTTGTTAAACTGTGTTTTAATACAAATAAAGATTATTTTTCATGCTTTTAGCACTGTAGCGAAGCTCAAACACATGTACACACATAATATGTCACTGTCCAGTGAAAAATATGTATCCCCAAATTTGGTGATTTTCAAATGAAAGGTTGAAAAAAAGTGTTTTCCTTGCACATGAAAAGTTGATATTTTGGATATACATGGTTTTCACTGGACAGTGAACACACACACACACACACACACACACACACACACACACATCAATCATCCCTCTTAAAACCACATTTTCTCTCCATGTAGCCTTAATTCTTAGCTTTCAACGGTGCTCATGTTTTTTTTGGACCCCACCCCTCATGGAGGTTTAGGTTGCTGTTGCCATGGAGACAAAGCCAGTCTTCGCTCTGTCTCTGGGCTGCACCAGTATGACCGATGATTTCCTCTGAGTCAATCACACACCTGCACTACACCTCATTCTGACAGGACATGTCTCACATGGGAAGCCACTGGTCTCGCACATACTCAGAGTAATCTTGTGGTTGACGTGTGTGTGTGTTTACCTCCCCGGATTGTCTTATGGGTGTGTACTGAAGGTCCTGTGAGATCGCACACCTGTGTGATGTCTGGACGTGTGTCTGTCCCCTAACAGAGCCCCCACCCCTCCCCCAGACACCTGCAGCAAACATAATTCTCACCAGCCTTTCTGAGATGGTGCAGGTGTGAATCACTGTCTCTCTCCTCCTCGCCATCACTCTCCCTTTTCCTCTACAACCCCCACTTCTCCAGAAATAGCCCCCGTGCATGAGTCAGGATTCCACCCCACCTTTAAACTCCTCATCCAAACCCTCTGAACAGGACATCCATAGTGCGAAAGCATGAGAGGTGCATGAGTACAGGGTGAAAACATGTGACAGAGAAACAGAAGAGTGACTGCAACGGAAAAACATCAGTCAGGGATTTAAAGCCAGAATGCAGTAGCAGCCTGTGTGACTCTGCTGAGAGAGAGGGGACGCGGAAAAACATGAAAATGAAAAGGGTGGGATGTGGATAGAGATGAGTAAGTGAGAAATCTCAATGAAGGTGTCACTCCTTAGGGAATTTCTTTATTATTGTTTTTTTTTAATCTCATTCCAAAAATGATTCCTCCATTCAATCATCTGCACACACGCACATTGCTTCTGTCCCTGACTATCTGCAGTTTTCTCTCACAAGAAATCACACCCATCATCTCTCCTAATGCAGGGAGCAGGAAAACAAACCTTTCCCCAAAGTATCTTGCTTTTTTCCGCTGCTTCTTCATCTTCTCCACTTCTTTTCATCTTTGCTTTAAACAGAAAAAGAGGGTAGAAGAAGACCTGTCTCATTTTTGAAAAAAAAAGAAAATGGCCAAGAGCGGAGTGTGACGACAACATTTACTCAAGTACTGTACTTAAGTTTGTGTACCCTGTTTGAGCATTTCCTTTTAATGCCACTTTATGCTTTTATGCAACAATTCAGGGGTGAATATAACACTTTTTACTCCACAATAGTTAGGATTTAATATAGAAAACATATGATGAGCGTATCAGATATGATGCACTGCTACAGACTGGATTATCACAGTAAATAAAATTAAAACTGAAACAATTCTCAAACTCTCGAGCTTCTCGAATGTGAGGACTTGATGCTTTTCCTTGTTTTAATTTACACTAAACAGAATGATTTTGGTGTTTGCAGTGTCGGTTTGGAGAAAACACAGTTTCCATTTGGACTGAAAAATTTCTCTCTATTTTCTGATGCAAATCAAACAAATTATCACTGAACTTAGAAAATGATCAGACAATTAAGCTAATATACAAATAATTATTAGTTACAGGCCTGTATAAAATGATATAAACAGTAAAATGCATCAGTAATAATAATCTAATTATATGATATAATATTGCATTGAGTAATTTTACATAAATTTTGGCAATAATGCTTCCAGTACTTTTAAGTAAAGGATATGAGTACTTCTTCCACCACTCATTCTCAAACTCATCAAGATCCATTTAATAGATGTTCTGGAGCTTCTCAATCATATCACACGGTCTTCTTCATCAAGTAGAGTTGCCCGGTTGTCATGGAATTGTAAACTTCCATCTCTTCCTCATCGTGTTATGGACTTCTTGATCACGTTGGCTTAAGACTTGAGAAAACTTCAGAAGAGTTCTGGAAATGGAAATGTGTTCATCTATAAATCTGTGATTATTGGGCAAACATCATCTGCTGACAAAGATTGTTTGAAAGCTCCAGAACAGCTACTGAATGGATATGTTGATGAGATTACTGTTTCCAAGGTGAAGAATGAACTCTCAGTTTATAAATATTCTATTCTTGTTGCTTGTAGATGAGAAAATGCTGCAAATCTAACACTACCCTCATGCATGTGATGCTTACGGACATGCATCTATGTGCAAATGTGAAAGAGGGAGATTCTGTTGTTTGACAAGTGCATTTATTAAAAAGAAGCACAGGCTATGTGCACACTGTGATAACTTTTATTCTCTATGTGTAACATTTTTTATAGGTTGTAAAGTTGCTTTAGGTTTACTGGTGTGACTCTAGCATGTATGTGGGTTATCTTCACCAGCAGACTGACTGAAACAATGGCTGCACACTCCGAAATGATCTTTATGTGCTGTGGCCAGCCGTCTTTATCTCCTTCACCAAATGGGACACACACACACACACACATACACTCTCACACACACACAGAAAGAGAGAGAGAGAGAGCGAGAGAGAGAGAGAGAGAGAGAGAGAGAGAGCAAAGAGTAGTAGAGGGGACAATTCACCTTAATTAAGATTATTATGCTCAAAGGATCAGCTCAATTTGCCTGTGCTGAACCTGAGGTGCCTTTTTTAGCCACTGATGTTGAATTTTCTATAAATAGCAATAGCAATCCGGTGTCAATGTGTTATTCTTCAACACAAATACGTTCTTACTTTTTTATTCAGGCAAGCTCACAATGAGCAGGTAGAGCTTCTGTGTCTTGCTCAAGGACACTTCAGCAGCAGCTCTTATCCCCCCTCCTCTTCCTCTCTGTAAAGGAGCAGCCCGGCAGTCTATCTGACCGCCTTTTACCCACCCTGAAGATTTTGAGGCCGTGACGTATTTACTAACAGGGACACGCGAGTTTTCTCACCGGTGCTCCATCTGCTTGCGAGGGCGACTATTTGGGGAGATAAACTGCGCCTCGCTCTCGAGCCGCTCTGACCGTTTTCTTTCCGTTAACACCCGCATTTGTCAACAAGCTTACCTTCCCACTGCTCACTCCACCTCTGTCCACCGGGAGGGAAATAGCTGGAGTTTGCTCTCCACCGCCTCTTTTCTTCTCTGACCTGCAAGATTGTGAATACCTTTGGAAGTTTTTGGACACGTTTTCCGACTTAAAAAGTGAAATTTAGGTTACAGCCGAGGGCGCGAAAAAAAGATGCTGGATCGTGGTAACCCAACTGCTCTATCATTGGTCTTTGGATGCCTGGCCTGTCTTGTGGTGACCTCTGTTGTAAATGCAGACGGTAAGTTCACATTTTAAGCTATTGTAACAGAGGAAAACACCAAACACACAAATGTGACAAGAAAACCACAGACTTCATCACAAAGTCATTAAGACAAAGTTAGGGGTGGTGGCTGCGCACTAATGAAAGCGCGCGCTAACTAGTGGCACCTGCGTTGTTATCTCGTGCGTTTGGTAATCATCGCATTAGAATATTTTCCCTCTCGTCCCCATTAGTTTTTTTTTTTTTGCTCTAAAATAAACATTTAATCTGAAAAACACAGCTTTATGTGTCTAATAAAGATCTGCGTGATGGATATAAATACTGTTTGAGTGCGAAGCCATCTTCAAGCTTATGCAGCCTGGTTCGGTGTTTCCCTAGTTTTATCATTTGTAAAAATATAACACTTATTATTTTAAACATAATAGCACCCTTTCTTTAGTGTTACTGAACCCTGGCTAATGATGTGACAACGGGCTGATAATGAAGCTCCTGTGTTAATTGATGACACCTGTTGCCAATTAACCATCACAGGAGGAGGACAAGGCAAATACTTTTCTCCAGACACCGGCATGCAAGTGTAATGTTGTTGTTTAGAGTGATCATTGATACAAAACGTGTTATTTAACCTGCCCTTTAGCAGCTGGCGTCAAATATGATTTTCTGTTATGTTTTGAAATTTGATGGAAACTGGCAATTTATGTCATAATAAGCTGTTAGGACAAACATGTCTTGATTAATTAACGTTTTACACCTGCCTTTGTACTCTAATGAAAATAAATATTATTAGAAATAATGTAATGTGGCAGATACTATGATAGGTATATTTGCAAATTGCTACTCCAAAGTATATCCTCCAAATAAAACTGATTGCCTTCTTTAACATGGAGTTATAGCTATGTGGTTTTTCAGAAGCCATTCCAATTAATGGCCAAAATATTTAAAATTTCAGCGGTGCTCAAAAACTAATAGCATATGGGCTGCAAACATTAAAGCACAAATATAATATACTGTCAGAATATAGTCACTCTAATATCAATAACAGGCTTTTTAGTCTTCCCTGGTCATTTGTGATGTATTTATTCTTTTTCTTCATGTAGGAAGACAAAAAAGACGAGGATATTGTTTGGATTTTATTATAAGCCACACAACATTTTTGTCTAGTTTTACACAGCCATCCATTATCTAGAAGCTCACAGGTCGTTTTTCCTCCACCTACACTTGTCACTGTGATATACAAGAGGTTAATAACAGGTAATATGAAGGATGTTTTACTCCCTGTTCTTTCTCTTCTCAGGTCGAGTGTTTGTGTTGGACCGGAGGAACTCCTCCGACCTGCAGGGCTTCAGAGACGCTGAGCGCGCTTGTGCCTCACAACATGCCCGCTTGGCATCAGCAGAGGAGCTCCGTCATGCTGTGGTGGAGTGCTTCTTCTCCTCATGCACCCGTGGATGGCTCTATGGAGGCACAGTGGGGTAAGAAAAGCATAGAAAAGAGGTATTTGTCCTCATTGTTTTAAGGGACATGTAGGGAGACTGCTGATTTCTAGAGATGTCAAAGGTCATTTGTAGTGTGTGTGCTTCTGTGTGTGTGACGGAGGTTGGACGAATGGATGAAAGAGAAAGGAAGTAAAGGCAGCAGCGGCAGTTAAAGAGAGAGCGGGAAGATAGAAGAAGAGAGTGACACATTTCAAGGGGGAAAGAGAAAAAGCAGAGAGGAAGAGAGGGAGAAAGACTCCTCTGTTCCTTCCTGGAGGAGGAGGGAATTCAGAGCCGGGGTGTCATGTCGACAACTGACTCCATTTACACCTCTCATCTCCACGGTAACATGACACACAGCTTTCAGCACCCGGAGACAGGGACGGACACACGCACAAACACACAGACACAGAGCTGATTTGGGCCTGGAGGAAGTCAGGTACACTGATACAGTCAGGTGTCTGACGGACAACTTGTATCCTTAGCAGTAATTACAGTGGATAGAGAGAAAGTATTACAGTCGTCCTGTGGTTTCAAATATAGGCTGATAACAAGCCTGTACGGTACATGGTTTTCAGTATTACATGGATGGTGGTATGGCTTGTGCTTTTCAAAGTTGAACTGAATTACTATCCTGAATTCCTCAAAGACAACAGAGTACATAAGAACTTATTCCTCAAACATTTTCTTCCATAAAGCTAGCAGTACTAATGCTAACATGACTAATGGCTCCAGATATGTGATACTTACGCAACTCTCAGTCTCTGCAAATTCTTCTTCTGGTGCTCCTACAAGTTCCTTCAGTGCATTAAATGCTTAATAAGATATTGTAAGCTGATGAATTTATGGTAAATGGTTTTTCTAAATGTTTTTCCTAAACCATCACTCAGTGTGGAAATATTCAGTGTTACAAAACTGAACCTGCTTCAAAATGGTGGCTGCCTAAGAATGATGAACGTCTGGTTGGTGGAAAAGCTGACACACTTTTTTCTTTCTGTGCACTCCCCGCTCTCTACGTGTTGAACAGCGGACATCAGCTTTCACACCAGTTTACCATGTTTCACAGTGTATCATCCATCTTTGGCTCTGTCAGTCTGAGTTCATCTCCATCCCTCTTCATACCTCCCCCACCTGAACTTGCTTCATACTCTTCTGTGTTGGTGAAGAAAATTGAGGTTAATGTCACAATTGTCCAGAGGTTCTTCCTTTCCTGCTTGCTCCATGACCAGCTGCTTCTGGGTCTCCTGTTGTAGGTTCTCCTCGAGATCTTGTTCAGTGTCTCATACAGTCCGATCCGTTGAGTCATTTCATATTACCTCCTAGTTTATATGCAAGAAGTCAGAAGTTCCACACCACACTTCTCTGCACTGGCTTTAACTGAATTTCAGGCTATTTGTTAGTAGAAGTGTTAAGAAGTGGTTTATCACATAATGAGAAGTAATCATTTTAATTATTGGCTCATGTGCTGTTGTGTTTTATTGTGTAGAAAAATACCTGTATCAGGTTAAATTGTATGTAACAGGAGTGTCCTAATTGAGGATGTTAGAGACCAAGTTTGGCATTTCTTTTCTTTCTAGAATTTTTTATTTATGATGGTGACAGTGAAAGAGTTGAAAGGGAGAGAGAGATGGAGAGGGATGAACATCCTCTGTCAGACCTGACACTGGGATGTTGTGATTACATGGTCAGTGTCTTACACCCCTAAACCAGGATGTCCCAGTTTTTCTTACATTTCATCCATTCATGACTCTTCTCGATCAGAAATAGAAACATTCAAAAGGCCAGCAATTACCTGAAATTAACAAGTTAGGCTTAGAGTGCATACTGACACTCTAGGTATGTGTAGACATATACGGTGAAATGGACAGTACTGATTTCAATTTCAAATTATTTAAAAAGGCCCAAAACCAGCATCTGATTATATGATATTACTTTGCAAGGTTTCTAATCTACAGGGTTTTTTTGGAGGCTGGGGTGTGAGTAGGGAGCACACAGTCCATTTCTGTGGTTACATTTGTGCCGTGTTGACAGCTTTCCAGAAGGTTATGCTGTGGTGTGAATGCCAGTTGACCTATAGTCTACAGTGTTGCATTGACATAATTTTTGGGTCTGTTGCATAACAAGTTCTTCTCCGATCGACTCTCCTGTCTTAACATCTTCGTCTTACCTGTCAATCATAGATCTGCTGCCGTGGTAACCAAACACAATAATACCAGCAGACTGACTCTACACTCATACAAACACACACATCCTTGGGGTTTTCCTGTAGTTATGTCATGTAAGGTGAGCGTTTTGAGAAATGTTCAGCTCAAGTGTACACTGCCTCTGGTAGAGGTCAATCTTTTTACTGTTCCCCTTCTCACTGTCTGTCTCTCTCTCTCTGTCGCCACACACACACTTAAACACACAGATGCCTGCATGAGCTATAGTTTAATGTGAAAACAGTCTTTGTGATTTTTGTCTCTGTTTGAGTGTTTTCTTGGTTTTTTTCTGTCTTACTTCTCGTTTCTCTCTCTCAGACTTTTGTCCTTATAAGCAGAAGTTAGCGTGGCACAAGCATGCAGTATGACTCACACCGCTCTCTTCTCACAGTCTCACTGCACTGCCAGTCAAATTCTTTCCAATTACTGATGCTTTGATTAACTCAGTTATACAAGTTAGCGCGGACGCACACACGCGCACACACATGCAGGCTCACATAGACTCACACAGATATACAAGTCTGGGCCGATACCCTTTTCATTTAATGATGCCTGATGAATAATTTTACCGGTCAAACCTGTTATTAATGAAAAGTGTAATTTGACTTTTAATGACATTTTTGAGCTCAGTGAAACTTTGCTTTGAATTTTCTTTCCACATGGGGTTGAGTGTTGCTGGGAGCTGCTATGGGAACATGATTTGATTGGCCTGGGAAGTTTGAGTCAGTCTTATCTGGTGCTATTGGATGATAAATGGTCTAATGATGCTATAAACCTTGGTAATAACGAGGCAACAAAAATAGACTATTTACTCAGCATTTTTAGCCATTGCAGCTTCTGGGCGTTGTGGATTGACCACATTATTCATTTGGTCCATGTGGAATACGTATTATATTAAGTCCCCGATGTTTTGATTGTTCTATATGGAGCTGGCTGTACATGGGAACATCTATCCCTAATGTGCCATAGTGTGATAACATTATGCCACAGGCTACATCTGCTGATACTGCAGCATGTCTGAGCCATTATGTGTGTTCCTGGACTCTGATGTCATGCTGTAATAATATTTGAATAAGCAACAAATCTGATGATAACTGAGGCAGCAGCAAGTCCTGTATACAGTATATATGTCGTCATGTTACGCATTTACACATATAAACCAGAGCTGTGGTTGTACACGTGATACCGTTCAGCAGAAATCTCTCTCGTGTCGGGTTCATCAGTGGTGTAATTTGTGGTGGAAAAAAACAGATCAGATCTTTAATTCAGTAAAAGTACTACTACAGTGACGTAACGTGCTCACAATCCTGCATTAACAATTCTACTTAAGCAAGAAAATGTACTTCACAACTAAAAGTACTTGTTCTGCACAAATGCCTCTCTGACTGATTACATTGGTAGATTGTTGAGAGCTATGCCTCAGTGTTTAAGCAGCATTTTACTGTTGTAGCTGATCAAGGTGGAGCTAGTTTGAACTATACTGTTAGTCCAGGGGTTCCCAATCCAACCTTGTGACCCTTTGGACCCTCCTCCAAAGGGTCACAAGATAAATCTGAGGCGTGGTTGGATGATTAATGAGGGTAGAAAGATGAAAAAAAAAATATGGTCTGCTATACAATTTGTAATTCTCTAATCTTTGCTTTTTGTTAAATATTGTATAAATATTATGTTACCTCTTTAGGCCTCCAACAGCTATTTAAATGAAGGGGAAGGGGACCCAACTAGACACTGCTTATTTCTAAGAGGCCAGAAACCTAAAAAAGGTTGGGAACCACTGGTTTAATATTTAAGAACACATTGTATCTTATTATGTCTTTTTCAGTTAAATCTCAACCTGAAAAGAAACTAGTAACTAAAGCTGACAAATGAATATAGTGGAGTAAAAATCACTATACTGAAATATTGTGGAGTAGAAGGAAAGGGAAATGATAAAGTAACTCAAAACTGTACTTAACAGTACTAGAGTAAATGTTCAAGTTAACTTCCACCACAGGGTGTACAAGATGTGTAGCTTAGGGAGCGTGTTTCTGTGTATGTGTGAGGGTGTGTTACAAATAAACACACTGGGTTTAATTATGACCACCCTCAATGCTGGAGTCCCTTATGGGTGCTTAAGTGCTTCACTGTAAGCCATCTGCTCTTGTATCTTGTTGAAATTATTGGGTGTGTTTCTTACTGTCTGCCTGTGTGTGTATCTACTGATTTCTAGAACCACGGTGTGTAATAGTGCGGGCAGTGCACTGAAAGCAGTGGATGTGAGAGCAGAAAATACTACAGAGGACACTGCACACCTGGATGCCTTCTGTATCAAAGACAAAGGTCAGTAAAGACACAAACACAGATGTATGCAGTCATGATTTCTAAATGCGTACATTAAGCTGTGAGTGGCGATCGGGATATGAATGGACGAGCTTTGTGTGTACACTGTGTGTGTATCTGTGTGCAGTTCTCCTTCCTGAGATATTTACTGAGGTGTGAAAGAGGCTGTGTTCCTGCGTTCCTTCCATCTACACCTCTACTTTCAACACTCCATCCTGCAAATGTGTGTGTGTGTGTGTGTGTGTGTGTGTGTGTGTGTGTGTGTGTGTGTGTGTGTGTATGTGTGTGTGTGAGTGTTTGTGCTTACTACGTCTATGTTTTTACTCATATCTGTCATCATGTACCAATCTATCAGCCTTCTCACGAATATCTAAGTGTGTGATGTGATCCATGAATGTACTTAAAGCCCCGATGGAGCTGAAGCTACATTCCACACACCTATTCCACTGGCATGGATCTGACAGGGGAGGGGGCCAGTCAGTGGTTAGTTTTGGATCAGACTATTATTGGACGCCACCCAGAAGAGATCTCTATCCCTTCCTCATAAACAGTAGAGCTACTGTGGCTGTTTATATACCACACACCCCGAGGCTGGAACGAGCACTCTGCTGTGGGAAAAATGAACAGTACAGATCCACTTAACACAGGGGAAAGCAGTGACATAGCTTCACAGTCAGGGTTGTGGTTGTGGCTGCAGCTGTGGTTGTGTAGCTATGGTTATAGTTACAATGGTTACGATCGGAAGTGTGGAGGTATGCTAGCCTCCATTATCAGGGCAACACACAACTTTTATGTTACAGTAAATAAAGTTAATTCTGTTGACTAAAAGTTGGTTTGAAGGGCCATTCCAATGTATTTTTGCTATTTTAATTCCATTTTCTGTAAGCAAACAAAAACACATAGTTCTATGGTCTTTTTGTGTGTTTTTGTACTTTATAGGCACTGTTTTTACGCAAAATGATGAAAGCAAACTTTACATGTGGTAGCTATAATCAGTCACAGTGCATACTTTGATGCACCAAAATGGTTGGGAGTAATGTAAATGATAATGATTGGTACTAAATTGACCAAAACCAGCAAATATACTGGTTTTGTCTATTGTTTAAAGTGATGCTTCTGTAAGTTAAGTAGTTTACTTTAAATATACACAACCTTCATTATAGAAAGAAACTTCCAATGTTCATTGTTTAATGTTAGAATAAATCAACAGCTGAATGTATTATTAAAATGTGTTTATTTGGAAGCATAAATAAGATAACTTAGAGTGTGTTTCCTTAGTGTAATTACCATAAAAAATTAGACAAGAGTCAGCACAATACATAGCCCTTATCTCATCCCAGTGGCATTGTTAGTGGCTTTGTTTGTCGAAATTACATCCACATTTTCCCAAAACCCCATTGCTTCCTGTCCCTTGAGTTGTTCTTATCGCTTTCTGTTTACAAATGGGATGGTGATGCTGTAAAGCTGGATGATAATAATGAATCATGTTTCATTAACCAGCCTGTGTAATATTGAATAGGGATAGCATCATCTTTATCTAAGAATTCAGTACAGTCACTTCCCACTTTGTATGTTGACTGTCTTGTGCCTTTTTCTTTTTTTTCTTTTTTTTTTCTTTTTTTTCTTTTTTTTTACATTAAATGCATCTCTGTGCTTATTGACAGGTGTGCCGTGTGGAGACCCTCCATCCTTTCCCAATGCCCGTCTGCAGGGTCACACTGGGTTTGAGATGGGTGATGAGTTGCTGTACACCTGTGTGCCAGGTTATTTGATGCCCAGTGGCCACAGTGCCTTCAGCCTGCTGTGCGACAGCTGTGGAGAGTGGTATGGACTGGTGCAGATTTGTGTCAAAGGTCAGAAGGTGTTAAAACTGTTTATCTTGGAGAGCAGGGCAGAAATGGCAATAGGCAGAAAGAAAAAGGCCCCGTTTTGATCATCCTCTTCAAAGTTATGAGTTTTGACCTAGACAGGAAACCGCACTGAGGTCAACCTCCTCACTTCCTTGCTTATTATCTCCCAGTGTTGTTAGGTGAACGCTGCTTGATTTCTGGCTTTTGGGAAACAGAGTCTTAGTTGTGAGTTGGGAAGAAAATGGCTGCTATGACACATCAGCGTGACATGCCATAGTGTGGCCAGTTCATAGCCGAAGAAGAAAGAGTTTATGTAGACAAAATGCCAGGCCTGTGTCCACGCTAACAGAGACGGAGTCATGTTTGTGCTCTAAAGCGGTGGTTCCCAAACTGCTCCAAGATAAATCTGAGTAGTCACAAGATGATTTAAAGAGATAACAAAGGAAAAATATATATATTTTTTTTATACAAAATTATATTTACCTTCGTCTCACTTCATGCTAGATTTTTATTTACTAGTGATATACTGAATACTCTCACCTGGTCAAGACTCTTGATATCCTTCAAATGAACTGGCTATATCCTATGTTATGGGTCACAAGTAAACATTACTTTATTTTAAAGCACTAGTTCTCAACTCAACAGGGTCCAAGGCAGTAGCCAGTTAGCTTAGCTTAGCATAAAGACTGGTAACAGAGGGAACCAGCTAGCCAGGCCGTGTCCAAGTGTAACAAAATCCACCTACCAGCACCTCGAAAACTAACTAATTAAACAACAGCAAAAGTCTAAAAACAACATGTTGTGGTGTTACAGTGGCAGTTATGTGATGGACTATTTCTTGGCTGGAAGAAAAAAACTTCCTGATGGGATGGGTGATGAATGGACTTCACAAAGGCCAAGAAATAGTGAGCTTTAGAGATGCTGTTAGGTGGATTTTGGAACAGAGTCAGACTAGTTGTTTCTCCTTGTTTCCAGCCTTTGTGCTAAACTAAAGTAATCGGCTGCTGACGTATCTTCATATTTTTTTAACAGACATGAGGATGGTATTGATGATCTCATCTGACTCTTGGCAAGAAAGCAAATAAGCACATCTCTCAAAATTTCTTTAAGGGGTCCTTATTCAAAAGTCTAAATTACTCCCACATTGTCAGTCATGAAATGAAAGTTATCTTGTGTGTGTGTGTGTGTGTGTAATGAAGAGATCTGATGTGACTTTGTCAGCTGATCGAGCATGTTTCCTCGTCGTGTTTCCTCAGATGAGACTGAAAGTCATGTTGACTACGAGGACAAGTTCACAGATTCCTACGGAGAGGAAGAGCATCCCAGTGAGATACCACAGGAGGCTCATGGCGAAGTGTACGAGGAGGTGCATGGAGCTGCAGGAGCTGAGCTGAGTCAGGAGCAGCAAGAGACAAGCTTTGGTGTTGAAGTAGAGGAGGAGCATCAAGACCAGCATGGAGAAGGAGGAGGAAAGGTGATTGGTAGAAAATTTGAAGGTGCTATAGAAGGAGGTGAAAAAGACGAAGAAAGGGCTATTGAAGACTTTGTAGGCCATCCGAGGTGGGAGCAGGAGAGGAGAGAGGTGGTTAGGATAGATGCAGCTCCAGCCACAGAAGCATCTGTCTCTCTTCTCTCCCAGAAACACATGTTCTGGTTCCCTTCTGAGGCCTTTCAGGAGGAGGGACATCCTGTCTCCACCAATCCCATCACACAGACTACACAGAGAGCCTCAGGCGCTCAATCAGAGGAGAGCAGAGAACATGAGAGCCAAGAGAGGCACCACCACCCACATACTAGTGATGCTGACGACCATGATGATGACCACGAGCGAGAAAGCTACGATGATCATGATACAGATGCCCGAGATGATCATGACGACAGCCACCATGACGTCCATGAAAACAGCCGCCATGATGATCGAGATGACCTCAACAGTCACCAGGATGAAGATGATCACGATGATCATGTGACACATTACATTCCAGCTCAGCGTGATGATCTTGATCGACGGGACCGCCACGAAAAACACGGCGACGATCATGATGACCATTATGACATGGGTGAACATGAAGATGATCGGGTTCGCTACGGCAGCCAAGAGTACGATGATCGAGATGATACTTACGACGAACACGAGAGCTATGAGGATCATGAGGACGTGACTGACGATCATGATGATCGAGAGCATCTTGAAGCCTCTAAGGAACATCCAGACCCTGACGACCATGTTGATGGTGAGGACCATTATGACATGGAAGAGGATGGCAACGACCGCTACACCGATCACGATGATCATGACCCTGATGACCATGACAGCTATGATGATCACGATAGCCATGAAGATGACGGCAATGGTCATCAGCATGTAATCTTTTCTATAGCAACAGAAGAGCGTAAGAACGGCACTCAGAAGGGAGCAGGAGGAAAGACCACCACAGATCAAACCTGGCTAGACGGATACCCTGTCGTTCCAGAGGAGACAGAGAAGAGTGACTCCACAACAGAAAGGGTGGGACCAGAAGATAGAGAGAGGGGGACACTTGCCAGGACAACAGACAGACCCAATGAGGTGGAAATTCGTAGACCTGTCCCTTACACCAGCTCGCCAGAGGAGCATGAGTCTCCCACCATGGAACCTGAACAAGAGGGAGTGGAGGAGGTGTGGCCTGGATTCATTTCCACAGCTGCTCCTTCCCCTGATCATTTAGAGCCCTCAGACTCCCCCTCATACTCTGACACCCTTGACTACAACACACAACAAGCAGATCCCACTCGCTCCTGGCAGGGTGACCTCACTAAGCACCCCTTCCTCGATTACAGCCCAGCTCCTCCAGTGCATGACGGCGACATCCTCACCGGAGTGATGGAGGAGCACACTGTGCACAACCTGCCTGGTGAGACTGGTGAGAGGGCGGAGATAGAAGGGGAGATCGGGGAGACGATCTGTACAGGTGATGACTGCCCTCCACGTCCTCCAAGCTCCTCCGGCCACGGTCCCACGGTAGCTGCCATAATCGTGGCGGTGTGTGTGGTTGCTGCGGCGGTCATCATCGGGGTGTGGTGTTACCGACGGCAGCAGCAGAAGAGCTCAGTGTACGAGATGAATGGGAAAGGCCAAAGTCAGACCAGACAGGGCCAACAGATAGAGATGCAGCAAAAAGTGTAAGAGCAAGAGATGAGGAAAGAAGGACACTGACGGAGGGCAGAGACATTCAGGAGTGATGGGACGATTCAGATGAATATGAGAGGAGAGCACAACCCTTCATCTTACTAGAAACTCCTGCATCATTGAAGATTTTGGATAGGTATGAACAGATGAGTTGTGCTACAGCTCTGTATTAAACAGAAAAAATCTTACCTGTGGGATGCACAAAATTTAGTAAAGCAGTAAGAACTGATGAAACAATATGGTAGTAGTTCTCTTTCCCTCCCACTTATAAATTCAAAGGAAATTCACCCATCTTTATCATACCTATTCATTATTTTCAATGCTCTACCATTTAGCTGAGCAGTGGAGGGGCTGTGTCTGGACTGTACTCAGCTCCAGGAACAGAAAAAAGAGATTGTAAGGAAATGTAGGAAAACCAAAAGAAGGCATGCCTGCCTGCCTGGAAATATGAACTGAGACTTCAACCTCCAAAGCTCTTGGACATTGTGGTAAAGATTTTCTGTGTTACCTTGCTGTTGTTTTTGTTGACTTTATTGAGTGCTTGCTCTGTTGATGTGTATTGTTCTGGAATCTCAATCTTTTTTTCTGTTTTTATTGTCTATAAAAAAAACTGTATCCCACTTATTACTCTACGACGAGCGCTGAAGTTCAGAGCACTAAAGATCATGGCAGCAGATTTGGGCAGGTTGTCCTGAATGAACGACCCGGCTTCTGTCAGACCAGCATGAGAAAAAAAAAAGGATGATGATGATGGTTAGACCAGATGAGAGAGTGGGATGAGTGGTATGAAGAGAACTGAAAGGGGAAAGGAAAGGAAAAAGGGGCCAGGGGATGGTACGAGTACGAAGTATGACGGTAGAAACATTTGAAGACTTTACTGCCTCTGTTGGTTTTGACAGTCAGCTGGTGAGAAATACAGAGTGGGTGTCCAGACTGCAGACTCAACCCTATGTGTGTGTGTGACAGAGAGAGAGAGAGAGTGTGTGTGTGTGTGTGTGTGTGTGTGTGTGACAGTGATAGAGAGAGTATGTGTGTGTGTCTCAGGTTCGTGCAATCTGCCGCTCAGCGGTACATCGTGTTTGAAGTTTCCAACTGAGGATCCAGAGTGGATGCTGACGGCATTCAGACCAACCAGAGATCAAACATTGTGGTGCTGCCATGGAAACAGAGAGAAACTACCCCAAATGTTATAGTTAAAAGATTAGTAGTATTCTGAAATATTCTGACTGTTTTTTCATAAATGTTCATGAAAGAGTGGAGCTGGAGAGCCTGTGACTTTAGGTTAAAATTAGGGCTGGACCTCATGCTCTAAAAGGTGTATCATGATAAACATACATAGATGACATTTAGCTCTACAGTATAATGATAAATGTAATGCTAAATATTTAATTTTAACATCTGTGGATTATTTATATATATTTCTGCTATGTTCTGATTAATTACAGTATGAGCGGTTAAAGAGGCTCTTGAGCACAGAACTGTCAGATTATTGGTTGATCAAATTTATGGTAAGATATCACTGGTTGCTGAAGGAGTTGTCAATTCAAACAAATGTGAATTCATTTTTCAATTTGTTTATCAAAAAAATCTGATATAATTTATGTGAGAAATTAATAATGAGTGATTTGATTAATTTGGTTGTCCAGCCCTAGTTCAACAAAATGAAAGATTCAATTGTAGCACTGTGTTATTCTGTGATATTTACACTTTTGCTGTTTCCATATTGTGCCATGTACTTGGGAACAAGCTGAATTGCTAAATTTGAAAAGCTCATAAAAAGGTGCAAATGTAAATAAAGTAAAATAGTCATAAGAGGGTTTAAACTTAGATATTAGAGCTTGTAATTCTAGTGATGTATAAATGAACTATGTTACAATAACTTAATAGTGTTTTACTTGTGATAACTGTCAACAGTGGGTGGTGGTTGGTAGAAAAGACACTTTATTGTGTCATCAGTTATGAATGATGATTACATTTTTTCTCATATGTTTCTAACAACATCCAGTGTTTTCATCTGGTTTATAAGAAGTGTTTTTAATAATGTTATTCATCAATCTGGTTATGAAATAAGGAATTATTGGATTTTGATGGGTGAAGTGAATAAGAGCCAATTTCTTTCCCAGACTGATTTAATTCAGTCTTTTTCTTTATTGTGATGTCTGAAACTATATTGACACTATTCATGGGCGAGGGCATGGGGAATGAAGTACCTGTTGTCTATACGTTTCTGTAAATATAAATCTATGGCTGTGTTAACTTGCTGTACATACTGTTGCATAACTGGTGTCTAGAAAATCACCTCACCAAGACAGTCAAGGACATATAACGTAGAGATTTCCTCTTTATACACAGGGTCAACTCATTTCCACTCCTCAAAATCTCATCCAGTGCCTGTTACACGTACTATTCCACTCTGCTGTTGAAACACAAGTACTGTACACTGAAATAAAAACCACATTGTGGATAATCAAGGAAGGACCTGTTTGATTTCACACCAGATTTTCCACATGATCTGATGCCTCCAGACTGATAGTAATCATTATCAATGTTAAAACACTGAGGTTGAATGAGTCACTTGAGTTTTGTGCAAAAGCATGACGCTCATGAACACTGTTTTTTCATTGTTGTGTCTGATTCACATGATGCTTCAATGTGTCCATTTCGCCTCCATTTCAAACAGCCTGATGTGTGTGATGGCAGGATGAAGTGTGTAGTTCTTTTGTGTTCCCTAAGTCACAATAAACTCCTAAACATGTGACTAATGCAATCATTATTGTATTACATGTGGTTTTAACTCTTGATTTATATTTTATTTCCAACAGGGTCAAACTGATACATTTACTCATGGAGATAAGGATCTCAAATTGCATAGGCAATAGTGCATTGTTCACCATTCATTGTGTAAGTGTGACCTGTGACGTTGACCTGTGACCTTGACTCCTGACAATTAGCCTTTTATCTTAACTTTTATCCGAGCTCCTTTTACCAGCCATTGTCTTCTGCTTCTCTGACATGTCCCCAACATTTCGAAAAAGAAGAAAAGAGAGAAAGATGTAAGATACAGCATTGTTGAGGAAGAGGCAGTAAAAGAGACAGGTAAATATAGGCAAGAGAGGAACAAGAACGCAGAGCTGGAGACAGAGAGAGACACAGTCACACAGAGGGAATGTTCCCCTGTGGGTTTTTAACATCACTGTGTGACAAACTGCACAGAGACTCAATGTTCAAACATTATTAAACAACTCAGTGTTTTCTCTGGCCATGTCTGCGCAGCACAGCCCTGGGTTTCGTCTAAAGGACCCTTGCAAACAGCCTGCTTTTCACAGATTGAGGTCTTTTTCAAACATTCCCGAGTTCCCCTCTCTAAATTGTGATGTTTTGCTGTGACTCTAAAGTTTTGGATCTTAAGACATGAATTTAGGCTTTGTGAAATTGTAACAAGTATATTTCACTATTTTGTAACATTTCATAGACCAAAATCAGCAACTGTATTACGACAACACCGCAATGATTACTTGAGAGATCTCATGTTAGGAAAGTTATTTTATCATGAAAAGGACCATTTTTGAAAGACAACATCTATGATTCACAGTGGAGGAATGAATTCATAAAACAGTAAGTAAAAATATTTCTGTCTCTGTTATTTTCATTGACCTTAAATCATTCAGCTACTGTGCTTAATGTCGGTACCTCTGAGCTGCATATTTTATGTGGCAAAAATATTCAGGATGTGGAGCTGCAGGGTAAAAACACAGTGACCAATCAGAGCATCTTACAAAACCCAATAAATACAAACTGGTGCTTTTTTTGTTGTTTGTGTTTGTTTTTCAGTGTTTCAGCAGAGTTTCCAACGTGGACTATTCATTCTCTTCCAGGAACTCATCTATAAACTCCACCACCTCCCCCTGTGGACACACACACACACAAAAAAAGAATCAAGCAGAGACGATTCATGAGGGACTGTTTTGTTTCAAAGTGACATTTTGCACCGAGTGAATCAGCATAAATTCTCCCACGAGCAGTTCTATCTGTGATTTCTCATACCTGGCATTACTAAAGAGATTACAGTGAAGAAGTGAATGGTATTTGCCACATACAGCATGTAATCCTGGCTTATGTTGGGTTGCCCTCATGGCCACAGTCCTTGTGCTGCATCACAATAACTTAAAAAAATGCGGTGTCGTGCTGCCACCCCATGGCTGTCTGTGATATTGCAGCCTGATAAAGACAGGGCCCACATTGTACTGCAGGGCATCATGTGACCAGACAGAAGAATCCAGGGTTTTTCCATAAGTTACACAAGGACAAAGCCTATGAGAGCTGCAAACAACCTCATCCAAAATCTAGATGATTTCATGGGAATTGTGTCAGTCTATGTATAAACTGTATCTTCTGTTCCCTTCACTTTCCCAAAGATACTGTAACCTCTCGGCTGGAAGCATCCTGTGATGCACTAACACACAAAGAAATGTAAACACAGGTACGCACCTCATCATCGCTTACGAGATGCTGTCTGGAGAACTCCAGCATCTGTAGCTGCATGGTGGTCTGATTGTAGTACCGCACTGACTCCTGCAGCAAGCACACAACAAGACACGCAACAAGACAAAATAGTGTGTTATAGTAAAACAAAGACACAACACAGGGAAAGGGGGCAGAAGCCAAATGCCAGTTTCACATGTAATCAGTCCAGAAAACCTTACAGGAATAGTGTCTGAAAAATGAGCTTATGTGCTTATTTGTTTCATTGCTGAGAGTTAGATTCAGATTGATACCACTGAGCTGCTTACCAGCAGCAGGTTAGCTGAATGTAGCACAGAGACACAGCTAGTCTAGTTCTGTCACAAAAAAAAAAATGTAAAAAAGTTACTGCACCTTCCCAAGACATACACACAACCTCTATAAAAGCACAACTTGGCGTTTTCACACTTGGGTTTTTAGGTGGTTTAAACAAATGGGATATAAGGTTTTCATCAGTGAGTTTTGGAGGGGCTGGTAGGGGAATTTTGTTACCTTTAGGTCATTTGTTCAAGGCTCAAGGCTTTTTACAACAACTAGTGGTTTTACCAGCAGTTGTGAGTTGGACCATTTCTTGGGTGGGAGCAGTGACTTCCTGGAGTCTTGTCAACACTGTGAGGTTTTCAGGAAACCAGCAAAGACTCCTTCCAGTCTTTTAGGGACTTATGCTAAGCTAAGCAA